TTGTTGTTTACTGTCTTTGACTCTCAGTAGGTAAGATGCCTTTGCAGCACTGCACCTCGCATGGGTGCACACACACACAGATCCCATTACCCARCCTTTGGGGTCATGCAGGTGAAGGTGCAGGGGTCCTTTGTGTCACTGCATCAGGGGTGCAGACCCCATCACCCAGCCTTTGAGGGCATGCAGGTGGAGGTCCAGAGGCAGGGTGTGGGATGATGGATGGAACCTGAGGATCTGGAACCAGGAAATGGATGGGCTTTGGGAAAGGGCGTCTGYATCCATAATCTGGGTTTAACTCCTGGGAGTGGTGACCGGTCACCACTGGGTGTGGGTGACTCAGATTCCAAACGGGTGCACCTGGAAGGCTTGTGGGAAGTGGCCCGTGGTGTTTGGCTATGCTGGGCAGCTCCCTCTGGTAAGCCACCCTGGAGCTCTCGCTCCTGACTAAAGACAGGACCACCTTTATGAGCTGAGTGCAGATCCCTCACAGTGCATGGGCACAGCTCCAGAGTAGGAGCTGTTCAGTGCCACAGATGCCCAGGTGCCTGGGCCAGCCACAAGCCTCCTGGGGCCTGTGTCTTCACCACTAAATAAGCATCTGCCCGTGGACCTCATGGGTACTGTGAGGAGCAGCCAGTAGCAGAGGCGAACCTGGCTGGCCCCCAGGGGGAGCGCCCTGCAGCACCCAGGCTCTGACCCTGCCTTCACCTGGAGTTTCCCATGCTGTGGGCCTGGAACAACATTCTGAATTCCCAGGGAGGCTTTTCCAGCTGGCATGAGGCCCTGAGAGTCAGGATACTGGTTCCCGAGGCCCGGCTCTGGCGTCAGCTCTGAGTCTTGGCTCTGTTATGTCCTGTCTTTGTGTCCGTGGGCAAGTGATACATGTCTCGTCCCTTTCTCAGCCACACCAGGATGGTACTGTGTTGCACTGAGGATTGACCTGTGGCCGCGTTTAGTACTAGTACAGCGCCTGGACTGCACAGGTTGCTGAACAGCGGTGCAGGTGCCAGTTAGAGAAAGCCACCAGCCACTATTACCTGGTCACTGCGGTGTGTTAGACACATGCATTATTCCTGAAGAAGGAATGGCTCCAGGGCGTTTTCTACCCAAAACTGCAGACCTCAGGAAGTTCTAAAGTGCTTTCCAGAAACATGACATTAGATTTTACTTATCAAAAAATATAATTTGCAGTAAAATGTGAATTAGTTACAAACCCATAGTTTGAAAATATCATTTTATATGTAGTTTCTTAAAAATTTTTAGTTGTAGATGGACATAATATCTTTATTTTATTATTTTTATGTGGTGCTGAGGATCAAACCCAGTGCCTCATACGTGTGAGGTAAGTGCTCTGGCTGAGCCACAACCCCAGCCCCTTTCTATGTAGTTTTAATATTGTTTGATGATAAAATTTTAGGTCAACAGTTCTTAAAGTTCAGGTCTTTGCATGGTGCTGTGGTGCACTTTTGTAGYCCCCTAGCAGCTTACAATAAATCCTCGGGAGGCTGAGGCAGGATGATTGAGAGTTCAAAGCCAGCCTCAGCAACTTAGTGAGGCCCTAAGCAATCCAGCAAGATCCTATCTCTAAATAAAATATAAAAAGGGTTGGGTGTGGCTCAGTGGTTAAGCGCCCTTAGGTTCAATCACTGGTATATATAAAAAATAGATTTGGGTCTTAGGGTCCTTTAAACTTTTATTTTTTATTATTTTTTTTAAATATAATACCTGTTCTTTTATTTTAATATTTATTTTCTAGTTCTCGGCGGACACAACATCTTTGTTGGTATGTGGTGCTGAGGATCGAACCCGGGCCGCACGCATGCCAGGCGAGCGCGCTACCGCTTGAGCCACATCCCCAGCCCCAAAACTTTTAAAAATCATTAGAGACCTTGAAGATTTTTTTATTTGCACTCATATTTACCACATAAAAATACAGTGGAGCGGTTGGGGGTCAAGTTCAGTGGTAGAGCATGTTCCTAGCATGTGTGAGGTCCTGAGTTCAATCCAGCACCACACTCAATAAATGAATAAGTAAATGGGGAACTAAGATCATTAATTCCTTAACAATAATCAAYTTATATGTTAACATGCTGCCACACATAACATGTTTTAAGATAATTATATTGCTGCCAAGGGGTAGAGCATACCTGTAATCCCAGCAACTCGGGAGGCTGAGGCAGGAGGAGCACAGCCTGTGCGATTTAGCCAGACCCTGTCCCCAAATAAAATGTGAAAAGGGACAGGGTGTAGCTCAGAGGTAGAACCTTCACTTGGCATGCTTGAGGCCTTGGATTCAGTCTACAGGAATGCAAAGAAAAAGCAGGCTGTATTTTTAAACAAAGAGTAGAATTATGTACACTTTGCCAACCTCACTGATGCCTGGCTTAATAGGATTAGACAGAGGTACCATTGCAGGAACTGAGTCCTTCCTTTCCTTCTTTTCCCTGGTAGCTAGTTTTCTGYACCTCAATGTAAATTCAAGGAGTATATTTTTAAATTTTAGTTGTTTTTAGATATCGAAAGGRTTTTTCTTCAGTGACTTGTTCATTCATTTAATGTTATATTGCTAGGTAGAATACTGTTGTGTGCGGATGCATTTCACTTACCCTGGGTGCTGCAGGTGACCTGCCACAGCTGGGGGGGTCCCCTTCCATTGATAGTATGTGGATTATTTCCACATTTTCTCTACTGTGGAGGTCATGGACGCCCCGCTGTCATAGCCTTCCAGTTCTGTTAGCTGCAGTGTACATCTCAGAGGAATTGAGGGTAACAGGGTATATGAATGTCCTTGACTCTCAAAGAGGCAACACCAAGGTGTAATGGTCAAAACCAACTTGAACTTTCAGTGGAAACATAGGCAACCATTTTATATGGATGGTGGTCCTCGGATGTGGTTCSAGGACAGCAGCCTCAGCCTGGGGTTGTGTCAGCAGCACTTCCCAGAACAAACAGTGAAGGGAGCATGTGACAGGATGTCCACTGTCACTGGCGGCCAAGAAATGTAGATGCAGACCAAGGTGTGATGCCACTGACATCCACTGACAGACTTAAAAGTCTGACAAAGCTCAGTTACAGGGAGAAACAAAGTGAAGGTTGAAGGAGATCCAAGGAGTTACCAGAGAAGGGGTCTCAACTCAGGATGAGTGAGGTTCTTGACAAATGCCACAGAAATGAGCGTGAGGACACATCAGTTAGATTCAGGTTTATTTAGGGAAGTAGAGACCCACTGAAGGGAGAATGTGGCTATCTTGAAAGAGGTGCTATAGGGTCCCAGGCTCTTCTTTTAAAGGAAGTTGGTGAGGGGTGGACTTGGGAAGGTGTGTAGGGATGACCCCAGTCTAGTGATCACAAGGTGGTTAATGGTGCTGTGGTCATTCTCAGAATCCTTAAGTCTCCATTATCTGATCAGTTTATCCTGTTGGAAATTACACTGTCATAGATACTTTCTTTTTTTTTTTTTAAAGAGAGAGTGAGAGAGGAGAGAGAGAGAGAGAGAGAGAGAGAGAGAGAGAGAGAGAGAATTTTTAATATTTTTTTTATTTTAGTTCTCGGCGGACACAACATCTTTGTTGGTATGTGGTGCTGAGGATCGAACCCGGGTCGCACGCATGCCAGGCGAGCGTGCTATCGCTTGAGCCACATCCCCAGCCCCATAGATACTTTCTTAAAGTATCTTCTCTCTGCACTTAATTTATTAAGGAGAATATTTTTAAATTTTAGTTGTTTTTAGATATTGAAAGGATTTTTCTTCAGTGACTTGCTTCATTCACTTAACATTATATTGCTGTTGTGTGCGGGTTAATTAACAGGGCACAAGGTAATTCTCATAAGTGAATGAATTTTCATGAGTGGTAACTCTGAGATTTAGATTTTCCAGGAATTTGAGTGAAGGCTGGGAGAGCTAATCTGGGGAGTGACAGGCCTSAAAAGGCCTATGGAACTTCAGGTTAAAATCCCATTCCGTATCCATCCTTCTGTGTCCTTTTTACCAATCTACCAATTTCTTCTGTCAAAATGACTTTGAAAAAGTTTGCCATAATCCTTAAGTGTCCCTTTTTCCAGGTAGTTCAAGGGCTGATGGAGGACCACAGCCAGGAAAGCGGCCATCCTAACTAGTTCTCACCCCCAGGGGGCTGGTCGGGCTGGAGCCCCCACAGGCCATCCTGATCCAGTCCCTGGCACATTTCTAGGTTTCAGAAACATTTGCAGGAAGAATATAATGATCCATTATTAACTTTCAGGGACAGGGCTTTTTAAATTTTTATTTATTTTTTTCGTGGTGCTGGGGATTGAACCCAGGGCCTTGTGCATGCGAGGCAAGCACTCTGCCAACTGAGCCCTATTTTTAATTGTTCTTTTTAGTTATACATGACACTGGGATGTATTTTGACATATTAAACAGGGATAGGTCTTCTTTTAAATGAAGAAACTACCTTGAAGAGCATTAAGCAGGAATGAGGCGTGCGAGCCCCTGCGCCCGGACTCTAGGAAGCACAGGCCTGAGCGCACTGCGGTCACCCGGCCACGGTGCCGTCCCATCCCACCTCCTCCTTCCGCCCGCCTGCAGGCCGAGCCGGGGCAGCGATGCAGACCCGGCCTCCCTCAGCGRCACCCCCGGGGGCGCGCGCTGCAGCGACCGGCGGGCGAACTGGGAAGCCGTCCACAGTCGTCCCGAGCGCGGCGCGTCCCGCCCCAGAAGCGCCAGGGCGGAGAGCACGTCGGCCGGGCTCTGGGAGCGCCTTTGAGCGGCACCTGACTCCGGAGTGGAGTCGCGGGCCACCSCGCGGGGCTCAGAGGGCCCGTGGTGCGCACCGACCGCGAGGGGACGGCGCCTCCCCTCCACTGGTGCGCGTTCCTCCCTCCCCCGCGATTTGCCCGCGAAGCTGGACAGACCAGGACCCAGCGGAAACCGCGGCGCACCCCGTGCCGCCGACTTCCGGGAACGGAGGGTCGCAGGCCCCGCCCCGCGGGCGTACTACGTCATCTCCCCGCGTCGCGGCCGGAAGTGGGCTCGTGGGCGCGCCGGAGCCGGGAGATCGGGGCGGCTGGGGGCGCGGGCCTGAGTGATGCGCGGGCTGCTACCTCTAACCGGCAGAGTAGTTCTGGTCGCGCTGCGCGGCGGCCGCGGCTGCTGCGGGCTCGGAATGTTCTACGCCGTGCGCAGGGGCCGCAGGACCGGCGTCTTCCTCACCTGGTGAGTGGGCGCGTCGGCCTGTCGGACCCCTCAGGCGGCTTTGGGGCGGCCGGGCCTCCCTGGGGCCTGTGTTGTGGACGGGCTCCCCGCGGGAGGCGCGCGGCCCCGGCAGCGCCGCCAGCGTCGCCAGCACAGGTTCCCTGCTCCGACGGGGCGGGAACTTGGGCGATCTCCGGGGGGGTCCGCGGAGGGGCCTTTGCGGTGGGCGGTCGTGACGGGAGCGSGCTCCCTGGGGGGTGGGTCCCCGCTGTAGGGAGCTCCGGCTCAGCTGGGCCGGACCCTCCCCTCCGCGGTATCAGGTTCTGTCGTCGGTGTGCACACGTGGACTCCCCGTGCCTGGCCGCGACAGCAGAGAGGAAGAAGCACCTCAGGTGTCCGCCCGTTTTGTTGCCATACAGTGATCAGTCCACCTTTTTCAAAGACCCCCAACTTGTTGTTATGCTCCGAGTTTGAGGAAAGCCAGTGGGGCCGACGCACCGTCCGCCTGGCGGACAGCAGGGCAGGGGTGTGGAATGGGACACGCCAGGGAACGCTGCAAGCTGTAGGGTGTGACATTTGCCCCCAGGAGCTGGCAGCCCGTCCTTTCTCACACTGTTTCCCACCTAAGAGAAGAGTCTTCATTAAAAGGAGGTAGTTGGGCAGGGAGGGAGGTTGGAAATGACGTGCCTCCCTTTTCCAGGAATGAATGCAAGGCGCAGGTGGACCGGTTTCCTGCTGCCCGGTTTAAGAAGTTTGCCAGTGAAGATGAGGCCTGGGCCTTTGTCAGAAACTCCGTGAGCCCGGATGGTGAAGGTACTCGCCTGTCTAGAGTGTGGTATTTTAGCCCATTCAGAGCCTTCACAGCCAGATCTGTCTGTGCACGGAGGAGGCTCGGCAATCTCATTTTTTCTCTGTTGTACAGATTAAAGAGTAGTGCTCATGTCAGTGATAGTGTTAGACACACCAGGACGCTCATCTCTTTTTGCATTCAGTTTATCACTAGGTCATAATTCTTTTTTTTTTTTTTTGGTACCAGGGTTCTTAACCACTGAGAYACATCCCCAACCCTTTTTATTTTTATTTTTTTAATTTTGAGGAAGGGTCTTGCTAAGTGCTGAGACTGGCTTTGAACTTGTGAGCCTCCTGCTTAAGCCCCCTGAGCCACTGGGACTACAGGTGTGCACCACCATGCCTGGCATAATTTCTTTCTTTTAAAAAAGTACATGTTACTGGACCTAGCGGGCTATGTTTTTAAAGGATAGAATGTGATTTCCCTCCACAGAATATGTGTATATGGTGTTTTTATTTGGAACAGAGTCATGCAATTTGAATTTCTTTCAATTTCATGTGTTACGGAAAGTATTGAAAGTTTAAGGCCTAATATAAGGGACATAAGATTTGCAACTCTGATATACAGGACTGAGATAAACAGAGTGACTCTGATTTAGAGCACAAGATTAAAAAAATATATTTGGGCTGGGACATACTTAATGGTAGAGCATTTACTGAAGACACATTTGTGTGTGCATGTGTGGTGGTAAATGGTGTGTGAACCTACCTTGAGGAAGTAGGGTTTCGAGTACTTGCAGACTTTACAGGAGAGTTAAGAATGAGCAGAGCCTAATAAGCTCATATGCTCTTGAACAGTTTCAAGCTCACTGAGATGCTTGAATGCTGAACTCCTTTGGGATGTGATAACAATTCTGGATAGACAGGATTCAGGGAAAGGCAGGTCATTCTCAGACTGGTATTTTCAAAGGGCTAGTTTCTGAGGCAGGAAGATCCTTCCTTTGTGCATCTGCTCATGCTCTGTCCCCAGCAGCTTTTTAAGGAGCTCCCTGTATGCTAGTTACTCAGATGGAGAGATTAGAAAGAAAGCAAGTTTGAAAGTATGGCACTTGTCTGTTTGGTTGAGTTTTTCATTGCCTTTTCATAGTTTTTCTGAACCAGTTAACAATTATTCACATCTCAGTTCTTCCAGTGTACATATATTCCTGTCTATGAATCTGCTTTCCTAAAAGCTTACAGAGACCTCATAGTGGCTTAGGTTTATAAATTGAGATTTTAGCACTTTTAATATTTAGGAACTGTATCAAATAAAAACATTAGCCCCCTTTCTAGTTTTTTCTCTTATCCTCATTTTGGAATTTTTGATCTGTTTCTGGTTGTATGGCTTATATAAACTGATTTACTTAGAGAATAACACACTTTTGTGAAGTAAAAATTACCTGATAACTATGRTTTTTCCCATCTTTCAAAGACTTGTCTGCTCTTTAAAAACTTTCAGTTCAACTAAACTCTGTTGTAGTAAATAAACCCGTATTTGTATCAATATCAAAATTCTAAAAAACTGCCCTTTGATCTGTACCTATGTGTTTGCATTTACTTCTGTAGAGTACCTTTGAGGTAAATAAAGAGGCACTGAGATGGTGGGTGGAAATGCCCCCTTGCCTCACTCAGATTCCCAGTTGCCAGGACATTGGAGAGGCCTGGCAGGAAGCTGCTGGAGACACAGGTGTGGTCTCGCAGCTGTCCAGCAGGCACCTGGTGGGTGTCAGTGCCCTGTTCCTCCATCCCTGGCATGAGAGTTTAGAGCTGAAGGTCAATTCTGTGGTTTTTGTTAAGGTTGCTGTAGTGGAGATGTTAGTTATATTAGTTGCTCCTTCTGTACCTCTGTTCCCGCTCCATAAAATGATACCGAGGGAGAGTTGCCTCAGATCAGCGTAGAGGGTCAGGGTCGATGTCAGCTGCCCATGTTCTCAGCCAGTGAAAGTGGAGCTGCCCTTGAAACACTTGTTGGTGAGTCTTTCTCATTCAGCTTGTGCTTGGGGAAAGGGGACTGAGATCCTGGCTGTCCAGTTATCCCTGAGGAGGTGTTTGAGATTCCTTTGGCTTTAACCCCGGGTCCACCTGAAGAGAAACTACAATAGTAGTTGGCTTGTTTCCTGATGTATCCAATTGCCTGGTTGTTTACGCTTGACCCACACCCCCTTAGCCTCCCTAGAGGTTCTTAGTGTGGAGTTCATGTAATGGCAATATTTGGGGCAGCAAGGGGGCTGATCTTATGTACAAATTTGGGTCCTTGTTTTCCTGGGTAAGAGTCCCTCAAATTTTCACATTGTCATCCCTAACTGGTGTGTCTGTTATGTCCATCAAAACCAGGTTTTTCCACAGAAGCTCTTCTGTTTTCTTCACAGTGCTCTTATCAAGCTCACCTTGGAGAGTTGAGAGAATTTCACAGGACGTCAAAATCTGAGATGAGCTGGGCATGGTGGTGCATGCCTGTAATCCCAGCAGCTTGGGAGGCTGAGGCAGGAGGATTAGGAGTTCAAAGCCAGCCTCAGCAACTTAGCAAGGCCCTAAACAACTCAGTGAGACGTGTCTCAAAATATAGGAAAGGACTGGGAATGTGGCTCAGTGGTTAATTGCCCTGGGTTCAATCCCAGTGCCAAAAAAACCCCCCCCAAAAATCTGAGATGGTGTGTTCCAAGTCATTCCCTCTTTGTAGGGCTGTTCAAAGGGTGTGATAGTAAATAACTTGCCAGAATTCTTGATTCTTGAGTAGTACATTTTATGCTCATTGTTTCTATCTCATGAATAGGCTCTTGTCTTCCAGAGCAAAAAAATACACATGCACAGGAGTCACAGGTGAAAGTCAGCAAGCGTCTCAGAGAGCCCTTAGATGACCATGAAGAAGAGGTCTCAGAGCCGAGTGCGAAGTATGTGCGAAAGAACACAGAGCCAGCCCCTGCCCTTGGCAAGGACACATTTTCTTATATGGGTATGTGTTTTAGTYGGGTTCTCACCACGGTGACCAAAAGACCTGACAAGTAATGCAGAGGAGGAAAACTATTTTGGCTTTTGGTTTCTGAGGTTGCAGTTCATCGACAGGCAACCCCATTGCTTTGGGCCTGAGATGAGGCAGGACATGAAGACAGAGGGAGTAGTGGAGGAGAACTGTCAGGACGCGGCAACAGGAAGCAGAGAGCGTTCTGCTTACTAGGGACAAAAGATAAGCCCCAAAGGCATGCCCTCAGGGACCTACCTCCCCAGCCACAACCTCTGGCCTGTCTGGATTAATCCACGGTGGGGTTACAGTGGTCATCCTCTAATCATTTCACCTCTGAACCTTTTTGCATTGTTTCACACGTGAGCATTTGGGGGATACCTCCTATCTAAACCGTAGAGTACATCTTCCTTTGGTTTTTAAAAATATAACAATCTAGAAATCATGAAAACTTTGCTCAATCTCTAAATGAGAGAAATCTGAGCTGATGTTTATCCTCATTGTTTTCCATACAGGATATGTAGAATTCTCTAAGGTTACCATTTTATAATTGATGAAGTCATGCAGAATTATTAAACTTTTAGGTATTCTTAGGAAAACCATTATGTAGACCACAAATGACATTGTAATGTTTGAAAGACCTGTAATCCCTATGCACAGAGTGCTTTAGCTCTTCAGATGAGGAAGGCCTCAGCACAGCTGCCTTCCACCCTCAGTCGGCACCATTTTACCCTTGTGTTCAATCTGGAGATTGTGTCTTATCCCTAGAAGCAAGGTGGTCATGAACCGTTTTTCTGCTTTAACTTCGGTCTGTTAGTGACAGTGTGTATATATTCTTATCTTTAGTTCAGGCGAACAGAAGGTAGAAATACCCAGCATTTTTATTTTTAAAATTTTATTTATTTTTTAATTGTGAATGGATCTTTTATGTTTTATTTGTTTTTTTGTATGTGGTGCTGAGGATTGAATCCAGGGCCTCACACGTGTCAGGCAAACGCTCCACCACTGAGCTACAAACCCAGCCCTCAGCATTTTTTTTTTTTTTGTCCTGGGGATTAAACTCAGGGGCACTCAACCACTGAGCCACATCCCTGCCAGGGTCTCACTGAGTTGCTTAGCGCCTCACAGTTGCTGAGACTGGCTTTGAACTCTTGAATCTCCTGTGTCAGCCTCCTGGGCCACTGGAATTACAGGTGTGTGCCACCGAACCCAGCTCCCAGCATTTTTTATAACTCATCGAATTTGTAGGTTCTAACTTTCCCAGGAAGAAGCCATTTTATAGTTTGATTCAAAGGAAACAAATAGAAATGTTTTGTTGATCTGTATTTGTAGGTTAGTTATAGTTATTTAAAATAGTCAAAAAGGTGTACTTGATTTGGTTATTTGCTGCTTGGAATTGAAACAGATGTTTGTGGCGTACCCGGGGTATGAGCTGTTCCCAGCATGCTCACCACTGCTTGAAGCTCGGTGGCCCCGACACAGCCTGGTGTGTGGTAGGTCTCTTCAGTGACTGCAGGCAGCGGTGGCTGTGTTGGCAGAGCTGAGATGCAGCTGGACTGAAGCGTCTCACCCAGCCTGTGTTCTGATGGCCCAGCACCCTTCCAGGAGCCGAGTCCCCGTGCTTCTGTAGCATCCTCCCACTGTGCCTCTGCTGTGCCTGCTCCACCCACTGTCCTGGACAAGGGCCTCCTGTGTGTGCCTCTCTGCTCCCCCTTCCTGTTCCTTAGTGCTGTGCAACCCAGCTTCTCCCACTGTTCTGCTGAGAGTGTGTTGCTGGCCAGCAGAGGCCTGAGAGTGGCCTGGCCTTATGTCCGTCCTTTTCTTCCTTGTTGTTCACAGCTTTGGCATGTTAATCCCACCCTCTGCCTTGATGAAAAGAAGCAAGGTCAGGAGCAACAGTTCACTGTTACAAGTGTCCTACAAGAAAAATGAGACCAGCGTTTGTTAGAGGACTTGATCTTCTGGCAGGCAGGGTCACCATGATGCCAAGGCCCTGCTCTCTCTAGAGATGGCTTGCTGAGAGTGACGGTGGCCCTGACATAGAAAAGGACATTGCCGTTGTCTTTTGACCCTTTAGGGTAGGTGTGAGTGGTAGGTCTCAGGAAGCAGGTTCTAGCTCTGCACTGTGACCAACTTGTCCTGTCCCTGGCCTGGTGTGTGAGACCAGGTGTGATGTAGCATCTGCCCCACATAAGAAATTTGTGTTTCCCAGAGACTGCAGCATGTAGAACATCTTCTTAAAATGCTGATCTGACTTCAGAGACATTTGGTGCGAGTTTTGTTTTTTCCAAAATTCGATCCAGCTGTATTTACTGTTTCCCTTATAGGAGACTCTGTGGTTGTCTACACCGATGGCTGCTGCTCCAGTAACGGGCGGAGGAGAGCACGAGCAGGAATCGGCGTCTACTGGGGGCCAGGCCACCCTTTGTAAGTAAACAGYTCAGTTTTTCAGCATCAGACTTTACTGAATCATATTCTAAAACTTGTGGAAAGACGCGTAGATCTGGGTACTCATTGATTATTTGGAAACCTTGTCAGACAAACAGCTCTAGCAGGGGCTGATAGAAGAACAGAGCTTTGATTTTTATTGACACTGAACAGCTTTGTTGTTCAGAATGTCGAATGTAGAAACTGGGTGTTGCTGTGTCGGCCCTAACTCTCAGGCGTCTCTATCTCATGCGCTTTTACACCAGAAGGGCCTCCTGCCTCTTAGCTTAAATTAGATGGACCTCGCAGGGCTGCCCAGGGAATGGCTGCTGGGCTTGGAACCCGTGTATCACTAGACCCTTTTGAAGCTGTGTGACCCAGCGGTGACCCTGATATGTCAGAAGGCAAGGTGAAATGCTCTTGTTCAGACCTATCTCGCCTGTGGATGTGAAGGAACTGGAATGGAAGCTGAGCCCTGAAGTTCAGAGGAAAGAGGGACTTGGTCCCTCTAAAGCCGCCTGCACCAGCGCTCAAATTTGTTTTTTAGTATTTACAGGTACCCACAAGAGCCATGTGTAGGTGGCCAGATGCAGTGGTGCACACCTGCAATCCCAGTACCTCAGGAGGCTGAGGTAGGAGGGTGGCAAGTACAAGGCCAGCAACTTAGTGAGACTCTGTCTCAAAATTAAAAATAGTCAGGACTGAGAATGTAGCTCAGAGGTAAAGTGCCCCTGGGTTTGATCCCCAGTAGCTCGAGGAAAAAAAAAAGTTGGTTGTTAGGCATTTTTAATAATGATACCACTTTCCATTTCTTTCTAACTGTACAGTTTACAAAGTTCTTTCACTTTAACCTTTTGCTTAGTTTCAAACCCTTGTGGTGGAGAGTGGAAGCTGGTGTGGCACTAGGTTCTGGGGACGTTGTGCTGGCCCTAGACACCATGCTAATGCCTTTCAGTCCAGAAATTACACTTTGTCCTTGACTTCTGGTCTGGTGTTTCTTCTATGCCATATTATAGTATCTTTGAACAAAGTGTTAGTATTGTTGGTTTGATTTTTTTCTTAATTTTTTTTTAGTTGTAGTTGGACACAATACACTTATTTATTTATTTATTTATTTTTATGTGGTGCTGAGGATCGAACCAAGGGTCTAGCACATGTGAGGCGAGTGCTCTACTGCTGAGCCATAATCCCAGCCCCATGTTGGTTTGATTTTTTTAAAGGCTGTGTTTTTATATGAAGCTTTTATATCTTTTTTTTTTTTTTTAACACACTAGCTCATTATTCATTGGAGGGAATCACTTTTGAGAATCAGCATTATAAGTGTATTTTTAAAAATTCTGTTTTGAAACAGAAACATAGGCATTAGACTCCCCGGACGACAGACAAACCAAAGAGCAGAAATCCATGTAAGTTATCAGATAAATGTGAGTTTGTCATTTCTCAATATTGACCTTGAGCATGAAACTCATGTAAAGTTACCTGATACATGTGAGTCTGTCATCCCTCAGCAAGACTATGAGCATATCACTTATTACTATTATCCATGTAGATAAGATATTCAATGTCCAGAAGAAACTTTGGGTTAGTAGCAATTCTGGAGAAACACTCTAAAATGTCATTTCAAGTCGGTGTCAACAGAATTATATGTTTAGCACTATTTCACGTAAAGAATATAATCAAAGTACATAAGAAGAAGGAACCCTTGTGTCATAGACCCTTTTGAACATGTGTGACCCAGAGGTGACCCTTGTATGTCCAAGTGTGAATCACTTTGAGCATGAGCTGTGTTGCCAGTTCTCTGCGGAGGATGACTGTGGCTTGTTTTTTCAAGGCAGCCTGCAAAGCCATCGAACAAGCCAAGGCTCAGAACATCAGTAAATTGGTTCTATATATGGACAGTATGTTCACTATAAATGGTAAGCCTTCATGTTTATTTCTTCCAGTAATTTTCCAGTCGCTCTGAGGGGAACTAGGCTTTTCTTTCCCTGGTGGGAGGTATTATAATAGGCTAAAATTAATAACAGGGATAACATTGGTTTGTCACAAGGAAAAGAGGGAGGTTTTGAAGCCCAAGTTCTGTCATGAAGTAGACGTGGCTCTGCTGTCCTTGCAGTTGGAGTCTAGATGTGTGTAAGTAACTTAGGATCAAGGTGTGCTGGCTGCTTCTTGGAGAATGCCTGTAGGAAACTTCCTGGAGAAGGACGTCCTAAGCTGAGAGCTTCAGGTGAATGCAGTTAGAGGAATGGGGGAGATGGGTGTTTCTGGCATGTGCTGCAGGCCAAAGCAACTGGGGCCAACTGAGGAGGGGAGGAGTCCAGGATGATGGGTCAGAGCACAAGAGGCCCCAGAGGCAGAACAGGCAGGGCGGTGCAGGTGGAGCCCCAGTGAGCATACCTTCCCCTAGGGATCACTAACTGGGTCCAAGGCTGGAAGAAGAACAGGTGGAAGAGGAGTACAAGGAAGAAGGTGATCAACAAAGAGGAATTTGTGCAGCTGGAGGAGCTCACCCATGGCATGGACATTCAGTGGGTGAGTGCCTATTAGAATGTTCACATCTTGTGACTGTTGTGACCATGTGGTCCCTGTTGGCTCGAGAGCAGTGGTTTACTTAAGGGATCGAGTGGTGCAGGTTAACAATTCCCACGAGGGTCATATCATGAGGTGTAATGAGTGCCTTTGATTCTCTCTGTCTTTGCAGTGAACAGTGTTACTAGGTGTAGGAAGTGCAACAGTAAAAAATATTGCTCAAGGGYTGGAGCTGTGGCTCAGCAGTAGAGCGCTTACCTAGCATGTGTGAGGCCCTGGATTTGATCCTTAGCACCACATAAAAATAAGTAAATAAAGGTATTTTGTCCAACTACAACTAAAAAAATAAATATTTAAAAAAAATATTGCTTGATAAGGCCTTAGGAACATGGTCTTCTTTCCAAAAGGGAAATGTTTTTCTTATAGTTTTTTTTTTTTTTTTTTTTGGTGGGGGGTGGTACTATGGATTGAAACCAGGGGCACTTTACCACTGAGTTATAGTCACAGCTTTTTTTTTTTTTTTTTAATTTTTTTTAGATGTTAATGGATTTTTATTTTATTCATTTATTTATATGTAGTGCTGAGAATCAAACCCAGTGCCTCGCATATGCTAGGCAAGCACTCTACTACTGAGCCCCAGCCCCAGCCAGTCACAGCTCTTTTTGTTTTTTTATTTTGAGACAGTTTCACTAAGTTGCTGAGGTTCGTCTTGAACTTATGATCTTCCTGTCTCAACCTTCCTAGTTGCTGGGATTACAGACATGTAATAGATAATTTTAATGAAATGTTTTCTCCACACAATACAAAGCAAGTTAAACTTTTAACCATTGTCTCAACTCTGCCTTATTCTGCCTCCATAAAACCATTGGTAACATTTTGTAACCAACATGTAAATTTGCTTTAGCAATGGAAATGTGAACAATGGTTAAATCAAATAAGTAATCCATTCTCCTAAACAGCATTCAAAGAGTAAAGAGTGTGTGTGCGCTCACAAACACAGATATCCATCCATCTGTACAGTTTGCCATATACCATTGCCAAGTGAGAAAAAAAGCACCATTAATGGTAAAATCAAATTTGTAGAGAAATGAAATGGAGCTTTTGTGAACACGTCATTGTGTGAAGCATCTGGATATATGTTGGGCAAGAGGCTCTGAGTGAGCTTCGGCTCGCCCAGTCTGCTCTGTGTGCTTGCGTTTCTCAGTGGAGTGTAGTCATGTTGCTTGAATAAAAATCAGGGGAAGTAAAAAGGAAAACCTTTATTTTAACAGATGCATGTTCCTGGTCATTCAGGATTTGTGGGCAATGAAGAGGCCGATAGGCTGGCGAGAGAAGGGGCTCGGCAGTCTCAGGACTGAGTGGAATCACTTGGGTGCTGTGGAGAAGGCAAGCGATAGCTCTTGTTGCTGTCATATCCTGGTGTGGGCATCAAGACCTCTCAGCAGGAGTGGCTGCAGGAGACAGAGCTGAGCCAGGAGTCACTGTGTCCTATGACGTCTTGGTAAAAAGCACTCCAGGAAGTGTCAGGAAGTGGATATCTTTGATTTCTGGTAATTCTGAGATCCACTGCTTACTGGGCTTAGTATATTTTCATGTGTTTTATTGCAGTTTGGCCCAAAGTGCTTGGGCGTTGATTTTTATAAGAAATCAATAAAACATTGGTTAAAAGATGCAGACAGGAACTCAGGAAGAATTGTGAAAGAGTTCGCTGACCTTCTGATTTTCAAGGTGGAGTCACCTGCCCTTGTAGCCACACACTGGGCATGTGGCTCACAGGACGCCCCTCAGGTGCCTGATGCTGTGTACACAGGAGACCGTGGCTGTGGAAGAATGGCCTCAGTCTTTCAAATGTGTGTGTGTGCAGGGCTGGGATCGAACCCAGGACCTCACACATGCTCAGCAGTTACAATTTTGTGAGGGTGTGTGTGTGTGTGTGTGTGTGTGTTGGGCACTGGGGATTGACCCCAGGGGTGCTCTACCACTGAGATGTTCCCTCAGCCCTTTTTATTTATTCATTTTGAGAGGTCTTGGTGAGTGGCTGAAGTTAACCTTAAATTTGTGATCCTCTTTGCTCAGCCTGCTGAGTGCTGGGATTATAGGTGTGTGTCACCACTCCTGGCTCAGTTACAGCTTTTTTTTGGTACCAGGGATTGAATCCAGGGCAACTTAACCACAGAGCTGCATCCCCAGCCCTTTTTTATATTTTATTTAGAGACAGGGTCTCACTGAGTTTCTAAGTGCCTGGCTAATCTGCTGAGGCTGGCTTTGAACTCGCGATCCTCCTGCCTCATCTTCCTGAATTGCCAGGATTACAGGTGTGCATCACTGAGCCCGGCTCAGTTACAGCTTTTAAAGACCAAGATGCATATATCTTTGAAAAGTTTCTTTGGCTTTTTTTCTTAAAAATACTGTGCAGGTTTAAAACAAATGTTTGACATGATCATTTATTTTTGAATTTTTTTTCGATAAAATAAAAATACAGAAAATGACACAAAAGAAATGAATGCGTATTTGAATTACTATTATAAGATGAATGTCTTTGCATCCACCACCCTGTAAGGAATAGTGCTTTACTGGACACTCCAGAGTACTCCCCTGGGACCTCTCCTTCCTCCTCCTTCCCTCTCTTTACAAGTAATCCTGACTTTTGTGGAAATGACTTCAGGCATTTCTCGATGGCAGTTTAATCTTGCCAACTTTTTCCTTTTTTTAACTTAATATTTCTTAGGGCTTTTAATTTGCAGTCCCTGCTCCATCCCACTGTTTCCCTACTGTTTTTCCTATCTTCTGGACCTGGGCCATCTGTTGTTTCTGTAGTCTGGATTTTGCCGATCGTGTTCATGAGAACACAGTTCAAATGTGGCCAGCAAGATGGGGAGCAGGACTAGGGCACTGCCTCCACTACACAGAWAGAGCTCCATTGTGTCAACCCAGAGATATATGGGATTATTCTGTTTTAGGAGCAGTAACTCACCAATGGGGTAAGCAAAGGTCTTTTTACTTAGGACATATGATCATAAAAGAAAAAGACTGCATATAAATAAAAAACTTCATAAAGCAAAGATTTTGAAAGTAACAAGCAAAAGCAAACTATGGAAAGAGTTTATAACTCATCACAAAGGACTAATATCCCTAATGTGTACGAGAAAACAACTGGTGAATCAGAGGAACGGATCACCCAGGTTGTTCCCAAGAAGTACATACAGCCCCTGGAGTGGATGTGTGTCCATCTTCACTCCGCAGAGTACAGCTGAGCAGCAGATGCAGTTTCTCCCTCAGCAGGCTCCAGGGTTGCCGAGGCTGTTGGGAAACGCTGCTGATGCTGAAGGCAGATGGCATGSCCCTGGACACCAGTGGGGCCTGCCTGCCAGTATGATAAATGGGTTTCCCTGATCCGCCAGCCCTGTTCTGCAGATTGATACTGCAACACCTGTGCCCATACAAATATAAGGCAGGATTTATGGGCTGGGTAGAAACTCAGCCACCATGCCCAGCTCATCAGATAATGTTCTGGAGAATGTTTTGGAATTAGAAGAAAAATGTTGTCGCTATTAAACAGTTTTCTCCCTATAAGCTGCTGTGGTTTGGATGTGGCCCCAGTTCATGTGTGGGGAGCTTAGTTCTCAGAGGCACATGCTGATGGTTGGGAGGTGGGCCTTTGGGAGGCAGTAGGGTGAGGTGAGGTCTACAGGGTGGCCCCATGACCTGTAGAAGCCTTAGAAGAAGGGAAGGGAGACTCATGTTTTTTTGTTTTTTAGAGAGAGAGAGAAAGAATTATTTAAATATTTATTTATTTATTTATTTTAGTTTTTGGCAGACACAACATCTTTATTTGTATGTGGTGCCGAGGATTGAACCCGGGCCACATGCATGCCAGGCAAGCGCGCTACTGCTTGAGCCACATCCTGAGCCCCAGAGACTCTTGTTTTTGGGAAATGTCTTAAGAGTCTTTGGGGACAATATGACCATGAATGAGGCTGGTGGCCCACACTGGAATAACTTTTGGGTTTGATTTTCATCGTGGGAGCCTGGACGCTTGGAATAATTCACTGACAAATAACTCAGGATTTGCCTGGCACAGTGGCTACGCCTGTAGACGGGAGAGTCTAAAGCAGGAGGATGTCGTGTTYAAGACCAGCCTCAGCAACTTAGACCCTGTCTCAAAAAATAAAAAGGGCTGTGACTCAGTGGTAAAGTACACCTGGATTCAATCCCTAGGACCAAAACCAAAAACACAAAAACCAATACAAATGAGTTTTTCTGCCTCTGCCTCCCCTCTACCTCCACTACCTCTCAGGACCAGAGACTGCTTTCCTTTAATAGCGCCAGTGAGACTTTGCTGAGTGGCCTCCAGGCAGCTGACTGGCTTCCTCCTTGAGAAATCCAGACCCGTGCTCCTTTTTTTGTGGGGGGAGATTGAACCAAGGACCTTGGGTGTGTGAGTCAAGCACTCTACCACTGAGCTACATCCCCAGTCCCAGTCTCCCTTTTTTCAGTGAAGAAAATTTACGTGCACAGCTGGCTCATTTCTTCATTCATAGATAACACGACTTTAAAAATCTTCATTGGAAATTTCAAAAGTACACAAAAAGAGTAGTTTGATGAACATCCATGAAACCATCTCCCAGCTTCTCCAACAGTTACCAAGTTGGATAACCTGGCTGAGTAGTATTCCAGGCTGTTCCTTCATATGTGGTATTAGGTGTGTCTCAGCACAGGGACACATGGAAAGTCTGCCAARGTCATGGGTCTCCTAGGGGACTTCCCGGGTTTCTTGGCTGGGTGAGAYCTGGGACTGCCTGGCTGGTTTTCTTATGCAGGTCGTGGTGCTGTTGACCCCAGGTTTACTGATAGACAGGCCCTTGTGTTTCATAGCAAGTGTTTTTTTTTTTTTTTTTTGGCTGTGTGGCAAGGCCTCTTGAGTAGTGCCCAGGTGTGCCTGTGTGTTATCTGTTGGCCTTTCTCCCCTGCTCTGTGTGTGTTTCCCACAAAGCCCTCAGGCTGTTCCAGCTGGAAGTCATTAGCCCAGATGGCTTTTCTGTAGACTCTGCCTGGCCTTGCTCTGGCTGGGTCTTAGCAGAAGTGGCCCTGGGGAGAGGACCTGAATGAAGATGACGGCTGAGAGCAGTTCTGCTCACTGTGTCCTCTCTCCACCAGAGCCTCTGAGGCACCAGGCTGCAGAGTTTGGTTTTGGTGTGAACATCTGCCTCCCAGGTTCCCGACTTCCTGCCCAGTCGTGAGACCTGTGGTCTCAGAGCACCTCACAGCTCCCTCAGAGATCCCCAGCGCCAGCAGTCTGGTTACTGCTTCTGCTCTTGAACAGTTGACTGTGCCACGTCTCTCACCCAGGGGGCCTCAGTCCTGTTACATCTGGGAATCTGGGTGAGGTCAACAGCCTGCAAGCTGGGCAAAATCTCACTCTTCATCGCTCTTTGCAGGCCAGGAGAGAGAGGTCAAGTACGCTGGGYGAGCAGACAAAAGCAAAGTTATTAGCACACAGCAGGGGCCAGCTGAATCCTAGAAATGGCTGTTAAATATATCCCCGTATACTACCTTCAGTTTCTCCTGTTGGCCTGCAAAGCCTAACGTGTTGACTCTGGCCCTTCATGGAGCACGTTTGCCTAGGGCGGTGTCCGTGTCCCTGGTTTCAGTGGCTTGGGTCACCTGGTCTTCCAGGGCACTGCTCTGCCTGTGGTCTGCTCCCGGCCACCTCTGCAGCGGAGGAGGCCATCTTTCAGAACACCTCAACAGCTTCTTCCCCAGTCTCATGGTGGTAATGAAACCTGGTCGTGAAACATTTCTGGGCTGTTGGTGGCTGTTTTTCTGGAAGAAACATGTCAAAGATTCTCCACGGGCAGTGGTGTCCACAGGAAAGCAGCGGGTGCCGTTTCCCTCAGTTGTCCTGCTGGAGTGCTGGGGGCAGCGGACACAGCACCTGTTTCCCCGCCAGTCCCTCCGCACCCTGCCCATCTTGCTTTTCCAAAGCACGTGGGAGGYCAACCTTAGGGGTGACTGAGTTACACTCCCCAGCTGGGTGCTGAAGCGCTCAGTCACAGAAATGGGTGTGTCTTACTACAGCCCCATGGGTGAAGCTATGCTCACCTGTTCCTTTGTAATATAACCCCTTGCCCCATTTAGGATAGAGTCTTCCATGGAAGTGCCTTGTGTGTGTCCCCTCCTCTTACTGTGCCCTTGGGTGTGGCCTACCCAGGTGTCAGTCAACCTGCTGACAGTGGACATCATGAAGATAGACTCAGCCCCTGAAACCTGACCCCTTGCCTCATTTGAATAGCTTCTCCTCAATAAAAGGGGTCAGTGCGTGCTCTCACTCTCTCTCTTTCTGGGGACCCTTAAGGTCAGAGGAGCCGTCACAGCGACCCCAAAGAAAAAGGTATTTGTGTCTCTTGTGTGGTTATTTCGTGCAGCCCAGTCAGCCCAGTTTAACTAGAGTGACCCCTGAGCCTTTTAGTCGCGAGAACAGAAACCCA